CAGCCAGCGCAGGTGCTGGTGCTGTGGGTGTGGGGTTGAGCCCCCCTAAAGCACCCGGGCCCATCAGAGGGGCTGCACGCGTGGTCACCGCGCTGGGAGCAGGGGCTGTGGTCTCGTCCCCCCCAGCGACACCAGCTCGCTCCTCTGGGAACATTCAAAACCATTTCACATACTGGTACGTTAAGTGGCTGCTCATTAGTACTTCTTTGTGCTTGTTCTTTATTCAGGTGACTCTTTCTCAGTGCTGGGTTAAATTCCTGCTCCTGGAAGCTTGTTAGCAGTAACAGCATGTTACAGTACTGCTGTTTCCAGCAGTTAAAGCTAACACAAGTCAGTGTATGGTCCGAGGATGTTTTCCAGTAGCGGTGTCCGCTCAGCTGGGTCTGCGTTGCTCCCCCAAGGAATTCGGCTCCGTGGCTCCTGATGGCAGCAGCAGCTGCGTGGCCGAATGCCTCTGCAGGGCTGTGGAAGTCAGCCGAAACACCGCTCCGTTTCAGGAAGGTAGAGGCTCAGAAAGACAAGGGTACCTGTGCTGTAGCTGCTGCACAGCTCTCGTTGACTTGGAGTTACATTTCACTTGGTTTTCCTCATTTGCAAACGCTATTTCTCCTCCATCACGTGGTTTGCTGAATTCCCCATTAGTTTATTCTCAGTGCCCAGAACTGGTGTCAGCCCTCGGCGGCAGGGAGGAGCCCGATGTCCCTCTGTTCCCAAAGCAGCAAATCTTCTACCTCGCCGATTGTTTCAAATGCAGTTTGCATCCAGATAATCATAAAAAAGCATTTGATTATCCTAATCTAATAAGTGCCAGATTGATTCTGGGGCATGAGCAACGTTTCACCGTCATAACCAGATGATCCCTGAGCCTCTGCCTCTACCGAGGGTGACGGGAACGCAGGGAATGTCGTGCATTTAATGGGTTTGGGTGCTCGTGTGCTCCCCTGTATTTCAGCTGCTCTTGTAGCGTTCTCCAGTCCCCACTCTTCTCTCCTGGCTCTTTTAGCAGCAAATGCTGCTGTTTTAACCCATGTGGCTTATGGAAACTGCAGCTATTGCTGAACTTCCTTAGTTATAAAGGAGCAATGACAATATTACTTACTTTTTTTAAATAACAGAATTCAAAGTAATAATAAGTCCTAAGAACAGTATTCAGGTAATTGTGAAAAATAAGACACCTCTTTAGAGCCAGTAGACCGAGGCCATAGGGAAGTTGGAGTCTGGATGTGCTTGGATACCACTTTTTTAAAATAAATAGTTGCAGTAATTACAAGCGCGCGATAACTCGGGAGCTGAAGGGATGCTCAGAAAGCATCAGGGCAAAAATCTGGAAAATCAGCTGCGGCTTTCAGCAGAGCTCTGCTGGCAGGAGGCAGGACAGCGCACGGCTCGTCAGAGGGTTTCCATGTACATGTGGTATAAAAAGCAATATATAACATATATTATAGAATGTTGTGTGTATGTTTTATGTATGTAACAGCTGGTTTAATGTCTTCATCCCTTTTACTGTAAGCATGCAGAAATACAGACTAAAACGTGTCAGTGTATTGTGTATATAGGAGCAGATGTGTTTTGCAGGTTGCATTTATGCTGTAAACCAAAAGGACTTCTGGCGGTGAGGACTGCAGAGTTTATAAGAAATTCCAGGTTTGTCTCTTGTCAATGTAAAACCTTTCACTCCTGCTGCGCATAAACATTTTTATTACATTCCAGGGCAGTTATTGTAAAAGTTATTGCCATGTTTTACAATTATCTCAAAGGATTATTTAAAACGACTGTGGGTCCTGTACCTGCGTGGACAGTGCCTGTAAATTAGGAACAAGACGGGTCCGTGCTTGCTGAGCAAGGGATGAACAGCGAGAGCTCTCCCAGCTCTGACTCCTGCAAACTTGTAAACCAAATCCCGTTTCCACAGAAAAAAGGTATTTTACAAAGATAACTTGGTTTGGGTTTGAGCTTTCTTCTGACCTGGTAAAAGAGCACCCGCAAAGCACCTCTGTGTTTCCCCAGCATTCTGGTTTTCTTCAGCAGCAACAAAAAATCCCTTCATAAGCAGGCGGTTGTAAAAAGGCACATGTTCCCCGCGTTTTCTGCTTGGGTGACTACGACTTTGTAGGGATTGAAAGGAGGAGGAAAAAAAGGAGTGCTCCAGCTTGTATAAGAAATGAACCTTGGCCCACTCACTTTTTGTCCGTGAATAAGGTGAGGTTTTGTGCGGGTGAAATTTGAAAGCAATAAGGTATGTGGCCTTTCTCATCGCTTCTCAAGAGTCGACTGCGGGGTTTTCTTTGAGAGCTGGCCTGAAGTTGTGAGATAAAGCAGCTCAGGAGAAAGTGTTCTCAAGCAGATGCCTTTAGGAGACAGGAATCATGAATTTCTTGAATTGCAACCACTCCGGGGGTGGCTACAATGACTTTTTGACAGTGACAGTAACTCTGCCTTGTCTTTTCGAGCCCTTCTTTGGCCCATTCACTCTGGAAAGCTGCTTAAGCGCACTTAAGCGCATTAGCATTTGGATGCTCGGGGACCGTATTGACCCTCATTTGGAAAGTTTAAATGAGTGAAAGATGGAGCGATTTGTTAGGGCTTTAGAAACCAGCTTTAGAGAGCGGCGGGTTTTCCGCTTTGGTTTGTTCGGGTGCTTGTTCTAATCTGGTGCGCTGGTTAAAGGCGACCAGACTGATTTGTGACACATCGGCCCAAAGCGCTCTTTCTGTGGGCCTGACCCGATTAGCTCATCTGTGCTCTGAATTTCAATGGCCGGCGTGGGAGGGAGCGCTGGGAATGGCTCGACGCTGGGTTACCTCGCCCTGCCCGTGGGCGCAGGTGGCACAGCCCGAATTGTGGGCCCAGACGGACAGAACGGTGCCTGTGGTACGTGGAGGGTGCGAGGAGGGGTCAGGAGGCCTGTGCTGAGCACCAGCGGCACCAAAAACATGGTACCCCATCATCCGGTGCCCTTCTCCTCCCTCCCAGGCCTAACGACCCACTGCCACCATCGCCCACTCCTCCCCAACCAGCCAGGAAAACACCCCAAAACCACACAGAGCAGAGGAGGTGCCCAAAGGGCAGCCCCCTCTGCGTCCTGCGGCCGCGTCCCCTTTCCCAGTGAGCGCTGGGATTTCACAGGCACCCATGGTGCTCTGAGTGGGCCAAGTTTTGGGGATAGAACCCAGGGTTGGGTGTTTGTCATCTGCAGACATGGCACTGCTTTCTGAGGGGTAAACTACTGAGGAAAAATTGTCAGGAAAGTACATAATAAATTCAGTGAGGTGGGGAATCAGCATCTGTTCACGGACTTGGAGGAAAGATCAGATTTGTATAAATTGTAAAAATTCTATAGATTTGTGTTCTGCCTGTACTGAATCACACTGAAGTTATCCTTCAAAAATTAAATCACTTAGCATGTTGATTTTTGGTTGTGCTGTGGCAACACACAGGGCCTTTATCCAGGATCATTTTTTAATGTCTTTCTATTAAATCAGGGCAAGAAGTCCTTTGACAGATTGTTTCCATTCTAGCACTGGTACCCAAAATACTGGAAAGCAGATGGGTTTTAGTTTAAATATGAGTTTGGTGTGTGTTTCTTCCTGCGGCAGAAGTTCGAGCTGTGCTTCCATGGCGCTGTACCTTATAAATACTGCACTTCTGATAGTGAATCCCAAAACAGGGATTTCTGTCTGCAAGAGGAAGAAGTGTGTAGTATCCTGTGAACTTCTGTGAGCCTGTTACCACATAGAACGTATTTATTAAGTGAATTTTATACAAAATGAACATTGGCTTCCTGGCCATTATGAAAGGAATGGGACGGGCAGAAGAGGGAAGTCGCCTCTTTGTCTCTCCTTGACTGAGTTATTTTACTTAGCACACTTTAGTTAAGACTCCGTACCAAAATAATCTCTAACTCATCAGGATGGTGTTTGCCACCGTCCTTAGCAGGGCTGTGCATGGATCCTGTCAAGGGCAGGGATGCTGAGGTCGTGGCCGTTGTCTCTCTAATTAACTCTGGGATTTCTCAATCCCCTTCTCGCTGTGGCCGTGGACGGGGGTGGCACCGCACACCCCAGGGGCTTTGCCCAGGCTGGGTGGCTGCAGGGCACAGGGTGAAGCTGCCGCCCCACCACAGCCTATTGCTGCATTTCAGAGCGCTTAGCACACCTCCAGCTTCACTACCAGTATAGGTTCAGTGAATCTCATGTGTGTTTTAAGTTAAACACACACTTAACTGCTGCGCTAGGAGCTCCAGACTCTCCCCTGTTAGAACGTGTTACAGCGAGCCCTGCAAACAGCCCATTCTGGGTCAGCTTGGACCACCAAAAATGAAGCTTTTGCCCCTGAAACTGGGCCCTGGGCAGGGGAATGGCAGTGGAGGGAGGCCTGGTGCCTCCACAGAAACTCGTACCTCTGCTTCCCATGAAGTGTTGGTTTGTGGTGTGTTCTAGACTCCCAGTCCTCAAAATGCCCAGAGATGTGATGGTGTCAGGTTGATGCATGGGGCGTTTGCTATCCAGTGTACACTGTGAAACTTACTATCAGATTGTGTGGTGTTTGGATGTTTAGGTTGCACTTGGAGCATTAACGTCAAGGCAGAAGTGTTGCAAGCAGGAGTTCACCCGCAGAGCTGTGGTGCTGTGCTGGTGTCACCTTTTAGGAGGGCACAGGAGCCGGTTGTTGGCCCTAGGAGGTGGCTGCTGAGGGTGTTACAGTCGTCAGTGACACCACACCAGGCCTGCAAGGGAGCCCCTGTGTGTGGTGCTGAGTTAAATGAGCATTTGCCGTATCCGATTGGTATTTTCTTAATATTGCCTGTTTCTCTCCAAACAGTAATTCAGTTTATTGTTTTAAATCCATCGTGAGTGGAAGTGACTGAAATTAGCAGTGCTTTTTATTCTGACCTGCAGCAAATTGTGTTTTCAGGTGGGCGCTGAGGATACCCGGATTGATAAATTTCAACTACGGTTCATCTAAACCGGTTTCCCTTTCTCCCTTTGTGTTTCTGTTAGACGCTGTGTGCGAAGGCTACGATGCAGACCATCCGGGCAGCCGACACCAATGAAGTAGTCAAGCTAATATTTCGTGAATCTGATAATGACCGAAAGGTAAACAGTGCCATGCCCTCTGTACCCTGTGCAAACAGAAACGCTGTTGAGTGCTCACTTTCTTTCCTACAAAGCGTGGATACAGTTGTTCCAAGTGGCAGTGATAGGGGTGCAGATTGTCACACCTAATGCCCAGTTAATTGGATCTCTGTAATGACTGGGGAGCTGTAGGGGGCTGCGTGTCGGGGGGGTCTAGGTCCGAGCTCCTGGCTGACCTCTCTCCTCTGGTTTTTAGGTTATGCTACAATTAGAAAAGAAGCTCTTCGACTATTTTAATCAAGATGTTTTTAGAGATAACAATGGCACTGCGGTAAGTTCACTGCTAAACGCTTTTGAAGGAATAAGTTGCAAACTCGTGTACAAATTGTGTTTCTCTGTGAGCCCTGTGTCCTTCCCAGCCCTCGGGCCTGCAGAGGCAGAAGGGGTAATTCAGCTAACACAGTAACTGCTCGGGTTTCCTCCTCACTTAACCCGTCGTTTTGTGTACAGCTTCGTAACTTCACCATCCGTTTGCCTTCTTCATACCGAAAGAGTAAATTCAGTGCACAGGACAGTTTCACCTTTCTTTGTCCTCTGGTCTGCGTTTCTCAAGCATCCCGTTTCTTTGTGGTGCACCACAGTGACTCAGGAAAAGCCCTCAAGCAGAGCTGTCCTGGAGGTGTCTGGGTGTGCACAGAATAATGTGTGAACGTGAAGGGAGAGCTCAGACCCTGCAGCAGCCCAGCGCTTTTTGGGTGATGGCTCAGGGCGTCCTGAGGGCAGGGGGCAGCGCAGGTGTTCTCATAGGTGATGAGGACTGCGCTCTGTCTGTGGAGAGCGGCTCTGTGTCTGCTTTAAGGTGGGTTTAGTTCAAAATGTTACCACTGCGTTTTGGAAGATCTCTGTATGGTGTCAGACCTTGACCTGTGTCCTTAAGGTCAGTTGGCTCACACCGAGGAGGTTAATTCACATTGGGATCCGAGCTCTCACTCCTTTCCTGGGGTCAGAGGGGTGGGCACAGGACGGGGGTGCAGATCTGCGTCCCCTCTTGGGTCACTGACGTCCGCACTGTTCGGGACAGCTGTCCCATCTCAGCGCACCTCCTGTGTGGTCACCAGAAATACCTGTTCTGAAACAGCCATGAGAGATGTGCTGGTCTGGGGCTTGGTGGTTCGTTTTTAAATCTACAAGGTGACTGCATCCTTGGGAAACGTTTCTTTCACTGATGTCTTGCAGTTTGGGGACATTTAATTCAAAGTGATAACCCTAATCCCAATTCCTGTTTCCATACTAATCCCAATTCCTGTTTCCATTCTGATCCCATTCCTGCCCCAGATTTTGCTCTGCATGTATCAATACAATAATGTTTTAGCTATTTTTAAAACAACTCAAGCGTTCGTCACCTTATTTTTCCCAGTACGGTTCTGCAGCTGAGCAGAGCCATTCGTGGTGCTGCTCATGGCGTTTCCCCGTGGTGTTTCGGTTCCCTTTGCGCATGTGGACGGGGTGCGTGGAGACGCGGGCAGACCCCTTTGGAACCAGGCGTCGCTCCCCTCACGCACCACGGAGCGGGAAGTCTGCAGGTCCAAGATGAACGATATAATGAGCCATTGGAGATAATCTAATCTTCATGGTCTGGTTAAACACGCAGCACCATGATCACTAAAAACAAACTACCTATCTAGGAGGATAAATGTCTCTGTGCCGAATTCAACCCAAAAAATCCATCGCATCCTTCATCAACCGCCGGTCTTGTACCGGCCTGACAGAAATTTAATTCGAGCTGGCTCCTGAAAATAATTATTGTATTTTAAGAGTAGTAATCATTGGTCGGGACATGATTGAATGTGTCCATGCCTATTGACTTTTTCTATGATTTATAGCTTTGTTTAGTCGATACTCCCATCGAAATTGTATAATTAATTATAAGTGGGGCTGTCAGGTCTGCAGGATGGAGTGCCCTGATGAGTATTTGGGAAGATTAAATTTTCCTTAGCTGTACCAATGCAAGGCTTGGGAATTTTCACAGCGCCGTGGCTGCTGGATAAAGATGTTTTCTGTGTGTTTAGCAACTGCTTTAGCTCAAAATCCATTGATTTTTCTGAGGGTATTTTTTTTTATCAGTGTGGTGTCTCTTCAGTAACATTGGAATGTGTACAGATGTGACAAGGCCTGACAAATATTTATTATCAACAGGCTCCTTTATCATTGTCCATACACAGTTATTCCTTCTTTCCTACATTGTAATCAACAAAAAGGATCTTAAGATGTATTTATAAAAATGAGTATTTTTATGAAAAGTCTGGTACAGATACAAGTTACCCGTTCAACAGAAATTCAGTTTGAAACGCACACAGTAATCTGTCGGGTCTGATTTTTTCCAAACTAATCTGTAGCCTATCCAGACTTAATCTGTGGCTTATTCCAGCGTTGTCTTAGCAATTGCCTGCATTTATTACCTGAAAGTGCAGTGACCGTTCTGTGTCAGTTTATTTCTGACAGGAACCCCCAGATTTATCCAGCTGTGTAGCGATGGGAAAAAAAAAAAAGAGAGAAACCCTATTTGAGAACAGCTGTAGCAGTAAAAATGATCATAGTATTTAGTTCATGTATTCTGAACTGCACGTGAAGGCGCAGTCGCCAGGCGGAGCAGGGGAAGGTGGCACAGGAGGGGCAGCGTGGAGCCCATCACCGCAGCGTCAGGCCGACCCCAGCTCCTGGTGTTGTTTGGGGTTGGGAACAGGCGCACCCGCTGTGCTGCGCTGGGGGTGCTCGCTGCTCTCACAGCACACGGCCATAGCCTGGGGTTTGCAGTGACACAAACCAGCGTGACGGTGCTTTCGGGAGAGCGGCTGCGAGCACATCCACGCTTCCACCAGTTGTTTTAGGATTCCTTCATCATTTGCCATAAATCAGGCTGTAAGTGGGGTTGTTCTTTTCAAAATGTCTTGTGTTTGGGAGTTTGCTGCTAATTTCAAAAGAAAAGCAAGCCAGGGTTAATTATTTAATGAAAAAATTATAATTGTGTCATTGATTTGTACAAAAGAACCACAAGCTAAATGCTGTTTCTTAAGTAGCCAGTTAAATCACAGAATCACAGCATGTGCTGGGGTGAAGGGACCTTTAAAGCTGACCCAGCCCAACCCTGCAGTGAGCAGGGATATTGGTACCAGATCAGGGTGCTCACAGCCCCATCAAGCCTGGCCTTGGGAGGGATGGGGCCTGCACCACCTCTGGGCAACCTGTGCAGTGATCGACCACCTCATGGGGAAGAGCTTTTTCCTCATATCCAACCTAAATCTGCCCTTTTCCAGTTTAAAACTATCACCCCTTGTCCTATCGCTCCATGGCCCAGCTCTTCCCAAATTTCTTACAGGCACCTTTCAGGTCCTGGAAGGTCGCTGTAAGGTCCCCCCCGAGCCTTCTCTTCTCCAGGCTGAACAACCCCAACTCACTCAGCTGTCCCCATAGCAGAGCTGCTCCAGCCCTTGGATCATCTCTGTGGCCTCCTCTGGCCCCGCTCCAGCACTTCAATGGCCTTTTTGTGTTGGGGTCTCCAAACTGGACACAGCCCTGCAGGGGGGGTCTGACCAGAGCAGAGGGGCAGGATCCCCCCTCACCCACCTGGCCACGCTGCTGTGGATGCAGCCCAGGATGGGGTTGGCCATTACAAATAAATACGTAATCAGAATGTAAAAACTCTTGATCATAGAGGAACGATTTAATGCGTAGGAGCATTTAATGATCCTTAATCCTGATGGGAAACGCGCAGCGGTGCAGAAATGCACACACATTGCTCCCTTTCCCCTGCAGCAGCCGCTGCTGCTGGCAGTGCAGGGGCTGGGTCAGTGGTGCCAGACCAGGATCATCAATGGTTCAGGGACGTGGTTGTTGTGAACGGTGTTAATGCCAGATTTGGGATGGTTACATGGAAAAGCCCGGTGTCCTCGGGCCCAGGCAGTCAAGACGTGGAAGCAGTTCTATTTCTCATTTTAATTGTTTTTACACGATAAGCAGAGAGCTTCACGCTGCTGTCGGTGCTCCTTCAGCAGTCCTCGTGCTGCAGAACAGTGGGCTTCTACAGAGAGCGCGTTCATGCTCCATTCCTCTGTTCTGAACAGTGAAATCAGCCTTCCAGGGTAGGTTCCCTTTACTCTGTGTCTGTTCAGCTGATGCGGTATGAGAAGGAAATTGTAATGTGCTGTAAAAATGGACTGAGTTACACAGGTCTTGTTCTCCCTTCGCCAAGTAATGATTTAAAGTGGTCTGTTATCGCGCTAATTAACGCAGAGGTGTTACTACAAACACTTCGAGCAAACATACTTCTACACTATGAGTAATTTGTTTGGGTTCTTTTAATATTCCCAGGACATCCTGAAATGATATGGCAATTGAGGAGAAAGGTTTAGTCCACGAGGGACCTCTATTAAGCTTTTTGTGAGGACGCGTGTGCTCGTGGAGGTTAAGGATCTGGCATCACTGAAAATGTATTAATCAACAGACAAGATATAGCACAATGCACTCTTCCCAACGGCCTTGGCTCTGACCCTTTTAAAGATAATGGGAATACTGTCCACTAAGAACTAGATTAGGACGATCAAGTGCATTTCATCAGGGTTTGACTTGAACCGTGATCCCAGGGGTGAAAAGGCAGAGGTTTATCCACTGCGCCAACCAGCCCCTGTCCAGATAAAATCTTGAATATGATGTATAAGGGCAAATTAGGATGGAGGAAGGAAATTGATTGCTGAGGACCACTGCTACCTAGGACTGGCCATGAGGAAATGCTGTGCATCCCAAAACTGCTTCATTTATTTAAGGGGGTCAGCTGAGATGCCTGATTTTCATAAAGCGTTGGTAGGAAAAGGGCTTCGTGCTCCATTCCTTCACTCAAAACGATATTCCCATGCTAGGAATTGCATTTGCTCAAGTTGGTGGTTAGTTGGTATGCCATTGGGTAAACTGCAAAATGAGTAGTGGCAGAGATAGGAAATATCATCGATAAGTTGTTCTCTCTGGCAAACACAAATGTAAAGCCAGATCACAAGCAGATGCCAATCCAGATGTGCTGGGTTAGCCGTTTACGACCAGCTTCATGATTCAAGTAAACGAGTTATTCTGGTGTAGAATTTGCCCGTATCACCAAGTTACACATTATTATTTCATGGCCTGTGGTTCCCCTGTCCTGTTCTACACAGCTGTTGTAAGCCCTGAGGCTAATTCGGGTGTACGGGGCTGTATTGGGGTTTTAGGCACTGGTCTTTGCTTAAGCACAGTCTAAAGAGGAGGCCCAACATCTGTATCTGCACTCCATAATCCAGCCTGTAGCCA